TTTGTTGCGGAGACAGAATACCAGACACCTAAATTAAAGAGAGAAAGGTTTACTTGGCTCACAGTTTGTGGAGGTTTCAGTCCATACTTGGCTGGGTCCAAGGATGAGTGACACATGGCAAAGGGCAATAGTTCATGGCAGCAGTGGAAAACAGCAAAAGCAACAGGAGCAAAAAGGGAGGAGGAGGCAGGGAGAGCAAGCCTCTTTTCCTTCCTTATATTATATGCAGGTTGCCTCCCCTAGGGTAGGTGTAGCACTCACACCCATAATCCCAGCACTGGACAATGAATCAATTGAAAACTCTAGAAGCCTGCTACATAACTGCATGAGGCTTTGAGGGGACATCCAGACACAGACCATAACATTCCACCCCTGTACCCCCAAAGACTCAGGTACATCCCTTATGCAAAAGGATTTTAGTTCATCTCTATAAGTTGCCGAAGTGCTAACAGTTTCAGCATTGCTGAAAAGTACAAGTCCCAAGTCTCCTCCAAGTTCTCAGGCAAACTTAGTGTGAGCCCCTGTAAAAATGAAAAGTTAAAACACTTCCAACATTGAATGGAACAAGATAAACGTTACCATTCCAAAAGACATAAATAAGAGGATACAAAACATTGGGACCAAATCAAGTGCAAAATCCAGCAGGGCAAACATTGAGTCCTGTAGTTTCATGTGGAACATCTGAAGCAATCTGTGATAAATTGTGAGCTCCAAAAGCCACATGTGGCTCCTCCCCTAAAGCACTTCACCTGGCTGTAGCTTCCATAGCTTTTCTCTTGGGCCCACTGTGCTCCTCCCTTGTGGCTTTCCTCAAACAATCCACATTCCTGACTTTTCCTGAGGTTTCCACTGAACCTTTGGCTTCACACTCACAGCTTACACACTGCCCTCTCAGGGGCGCATTGCCTGGCCTCCAAGGCCTTCTTCTGATATCTGGTTGGAAGCTTTTTAAACCTCAGAACTCTTGCATTCTGCATGAACCTAAAACCAGCACCACATGGATGATGCTAAGGTTTGCTACCAGCTAGAGCAGTAGTGAGGCTTTCCTCTCTCTTGGCGGTAGGGGTTGGGTGCCTGGATCACTGAGCGCTTGGAATCCAATTATGAGGAATAAGAGTTCTCTATGCTGCCACCATTCTGGAACCTGGTGTGGTTGCCACCATTTTGGAACCTGGTTTGGCCACCACCACTGTTCTAGCACATGGTGCTCTGAGGCTTTCTTCTCAAAGCAGAGTCTTTCATCGTTGTAAGTTTGAGGCTGCAAAGAGTGGGGACTTGCTGCTTCTTGTGATGCCCTCAAGCCACCTCTTCTATTCTCCCATTCCTGCTCATCAGTCAAGGTCTCCTCAGCTCTATCTTTGCAATTCACAGATTTACTGGAGCTTCCTTTCTGGCCAAACTTACAATGTTTTAAATCATTCTGTTGGGGTCTGTGCTCTTGATTCTCAACATAAATCTGGGTAAAAGCCCCCAACAATAGCCATGCCACCACCTCAGCATTAGACTGCCTTGAAATTTTTTCTGCTAGTTTAATTTTTCTGCAAAGTCTGTGGACATGAACAAAATGCAGACAAACTTTCTGCCAAACCATAACACACATCACCTAGAGTCCAGCACCCAGTGCAGTCCCTCTTCCCAGCAGAAACCTCCCAAGCCTGGTTTTTACTGGCAGTATTTCTATCATCCCTCTGGTCTTCGGAGCTCTGACCAAAATCACTCATACAGAGCAGCCTGAGGCATTCCAGCTGTACTCTTTCAGGCCACATCTGCAAACCTTTCCAATCTCTTCCCACAAGCCAGTCCCAAGGCTGTTGAACCACATGGTCAGGGATAGTCAGAGCAACAACCCCACTTCTCTGGTACCAAATTCTGTGTTGGTTATTTTTCTCTTGTTGCTGAGACAGAGTACCAGACACCTAAATTAAAGAGAGAAAGGTTTACTTGGCTCACAGTTTGTGGAGGTTTCAGTCCATACTTGGCTGGCTCCAAGGCAAAGTGGCA